CACCTATCACCCCCATAAAGGACAAGTCACCCCCCCCCCCCCTCCCCCCAGTGTAGAAATAATTTGGTTATTTTGAGAATTGTGTACATAATTAAAAAAATTGAAAAATTCGAAGAGCATGCCCACCTCCTTCCCCCATCCCCTTTTTTATATACCTTTTCTAGGCTGTTAATGTACAAATGTATAAGAATAAAAAAAATTAGAAACATGCGAATGCATATATATTTTCCTCCAATTCTCAATAATGATTATGATCAAATTTCGACCACTGGGCGAATACTAGTTATTATTAAAGTCTAAAAACATTGGTGAAGTATTCAGTAGCAATAAATATCAATATATATTTCATCGGTATTAGACACTGTAATTGCTCAATGTCCGAGTACTTGATAATGTTTCGAATCATTAATACCGGGACTGACTACCTACCGAGATTGAGTTTACCGCCAATTTTGTCACAGTCCAATTAGAAGGTCGCCAAAACTCTAACGCACTTCTAATAATAGAAGCTAAGTGAAGCTTTCGTAGTTGTTTTAAGTTTTCTTTTTGGATTGTGGTTTATTTTAATTTATGATTTATTTGATTGTAATTTATTACCAAAGAGCAAGAATAAAAAGAAAGGGACCTCATGGTAGGGTTGCCAGATTTCAAAAATTAAAAGCGAGAGGAAACAATTTTTTTAGGGCGCCACGCCCTAATTGGGCCACATTTTTTCATAAAAAAAATAACATTTTTTAATAAAACTTAATTTTAAAAGGCTAAAAATAAAGATATATTTTTTGAAGCGAAGCTATTTGACAAATCTTGATTATATTTTTCCAGGACAAAACGAATGTATATAAAAAGAAAACTAAATTAATACTAACACCTACTTAAATATAATAAAAATAAAATATCAGCACTCAACACTAAAAATAAAAACAATAATATTGAAAAATAGATAAATTAGGATGGATTTTTGATTTTAAGCTCAATTAGTTCTGTCTTTGTTTGGAAATGAAAAAGATGCAAATAATATTACAAAGCGCGCCTGTTGCTCGACGTAAATTGTATTGCGCCCCGGTGTCACTGTGTTGCTGGATTTATTATAAAGTATTAAAATTATGGTAAAAATAAAAATAGGTCACCTAATTTAAAATAATTATTTCATGCATTTTTTATTTTGCAGGAAAGCGGGAGCGTTTTTTAAGTGCACGAGAGGCGGGAAATTTAGTAAAAGAGCCGAAGCTTTCCGCCTAAATCGGGAGGGTTGGCGACGCTACCTCATGGGCGTCCGCTAAGTATTTAAGTAGTAGTATATTGTCCTCAGCTCATTCTAATAGAATTAATACCATTGTTGATCGAGTATCTGCAATTTAATTGTTTTAGTGCTAGACTTATTTTTAATAATAAAATGTAAAAATTTTACAGTAAACGAAATGAAATGTTATGGATTTATACAAATTTCGTGTTTCTACAGTAAAAATCTATCTACTTATATTCCTCAAACATCCGGCCAGTATGTATATTAGGACGGGCCAAAAAAATGAAAGTTAAAAGTTTAATTTGCTATAGCATTTAAAAGCTTGAAAGCGTTTTTTTAAAAAAAATTGCTTGTAATTTTTTTTAAATTTTAAAATTATATTTTCAGCCCTCTACCAGCCCCCAAAATAGCTAAAAATAAAATTAAAATTAAATGTAAAATTCTAATTATAATAATAATTGGTCCCTTTACCTCTTAAGCCTACTCATGTAAAATATTTGGGCTCGTTACTTCGCCTATTTATATTCTATTAATAAAGGACAGAAGTATGAGTATTGAAACTATGTTAAAAGCAGTTCAGAATTATGTTCAGTACATGACTGATATTTATTTATAAAATAAAAATGCCATAGTACCATCTCATTAGATCTATTAGAAAAAATTCAATATAAATCGCAATATCACAACTATAATACAAGAAGCCAATCTGACTTTCATGTACGGCCATCACTAAAAGTTCCCAAAATACAATTTTTATTAAAGGTTTAAAAAATTTAATAGACTGCCTACAGAAATTAAAAAAAAAAACAACAATAAATGTATTCAAAAGTAACCTCAAACAATACTTGATAAATAAACAGAACAAATATACTTTCTTGTGATAATACTTTTTAAACCTGCCCTTTTTAAGTATTTCCCTTAATTTATTGTTATTACCTCTCGTTTTACCCGCATTTACTTGATGTTATATTAATACTACTTACTATGTTTAAATTATTAATAGTTTTGCGACGATAGGTAACTTATAGCCACAAACCTATTTTTGTGTTAAAGTAGATCTATAGAGAGTAATGTAATTTACAAAGACCTTCTTTCAACATACAAATAAATGACAACTTTATAATTAAAATGAAAAACACAACAAAATACCTCGGTATCATAATTGATCAAAATTTGAAATGGGTTGATCACATTACGTCATTAAAATACCAAGATAAAAAAATTCATTTTTAAATTTTATGAATTGAGGAAATTTATGACTATCTGCAAAAAAACAGCATTATATCCTACCTCTCTTTTATATAATAAAAATTGCTTTGTATAAGAGCATTATATTATCTGTTTTGCTGTACCTTTATTTATGGAAAGCCTGAATTGAGATACACTACAAATTATTTGCAATAAATATCAAAAGAAGCATACATTTTTAAATAATTTGACATTTAAGAGCCATTCACACATCACAGTTGACATCTTGATACTTGACAGGCACAGCCAAGCATTATTCTGATTTTTGCCAAATAAAATTGCCGGTTAATTATTCTATGGGGTTGCGACAGAGAGCCAGTAAATTTGATAGTGTTTTTGTGGCGCGAAATAGTAGTACGCTTAAGTTAGTTAATTGTTTGTTTTTTTAAGGTAATTTTCAAAAATGTTTAAACAATTTACTCTTATTCCGTTTCTTTCTAAAGTTCTTAATAGTAGACAATGATCAACAATGTCAAACGCTTTGTTAAGGTCAATAAAAAGACAAAGACAAGGTTTACCTTTTTCTAGTGATCCATGAATTTTTTCTGTTAGTGTAAGTATGGCATCTTCGGTTGAAGTTTTTTTCTTTAAGGTTGGCGTTTGCCCATAGAAATCTGCCGTATATGCGCGGTTGACTTGACACCAAGCTTTCGAGAAAAATATACTTCCTGGCATTAAATTTAATATTGAAAACCGTTCATGAAGTGTGCCTAGGGGTTGTAAAGACTTCTTAAGAAACGAACTTGTTCTAAAGTACTCGAAAAGTGGCGTTGGCTTACTTAGGAATTTTCTTTAAACTTTAAAACTAAACATATTTACATGTTGTCTTTCCGTTACATCCCGTACAACCAACACAGAAAAATAATTAAATACATCACACTTCAAAATATTGTTTAGTTTTTTTGAAAGCTTGTTTTAAAATTACATAGATTTTTTTATGAAAGCACAATTGTGTGGTATATCACGTGACATAGCGAAAAGTTACAGAGGTAAAATCATTTTTAAGTATTTTCTTTTAAAGATTTTGTAAAATAATTGCGAAATTGACCAGATAAACAGTTTTCGAGATATGGCCAGACGCCGCCCTTAAAGCCGTATTGATTTTTAGTGATTAGGTCGTATGTATTAATAAATCTATTGAACCTGTTTTTTAATATATTTTCAAATATTTTTGATAAGCGAGTAATCAAAGAAATCGGTCTATAGTTACTGGCTGATTTGCAACTGTAACTGATTTTAGAAGTTCTACTTTGATTTCCTCAGTTCCGACGGATTTGTTATTCTTGAGTTCTTTAATTAGAAATAATATTTCTTTTTCATCAGTATGTGTTAAAACAATAGAGTTCGGTAAACCCGTGATACTAGGAATACATTTTGAATGTTTTTTAATCTCTTTTGCAAGGTTATAACTCATATTTATGAATTTTCTGTTGAATTCATTAGCCATGTCAACAGTTTTTATGAGGAGTTCTCCGTTATCGTTCTTTATAGGGCCAATAGTTTTTGTTTTAGTGTTTGTGCCTGTAATTTCTCGTACAATGTTCCATAACTGTTTCGTATTTTGATTGTCTAATTGTATTCGTTGTTTGTAATAATTTTGTTTAGTTTTATTTATCAAATTAGTTAGTTTATTTTTACAATTTTTATATAGTTGTTTTATATAATTATCATTTGAATGTTTTATTAAATTTCTATATAAATTATTTTTTTCATTAATTATTTTTAATAAGGAGTTTGTCATCCATGGTGCTATTTTGGTATTTATTCTTAAAACTTTTTTTTGTATCTGTACATAATTGAGTGACTTCATGAATAGTATTAATGAAGATATTAGTTGCATCATTTGGATCTGTTTCAGAGTATATTGTCTCCCAAGTATTCATCTGTAATATTTTATTAATTTTAGTATGATTTAGATATTTAATAAATTTATTGTTAGAATTATTTTTTAATTTATTACAAGTTATTATTTGTATTATTACCGTTGCATGATCTGTGATATTTGTTGTAACAACTAAGGGCAAAATCATATCAGAGGTTTCCGATATTTTTGATTTAATGAAAATGTGATCGAGACATAATTTACCCCTAGTAGGTTTATTAATAGTCGATACGTAACTGTATTCGTTTAGTGTGCTTATGTACTCAATTGTATTGTTATTGTTTTCTAATAAGTTTATGTTAATATCACCAATAAAAATACAGTAGTTATTATCTGTTTGATTTCTTTCAAAGTATGTTTGTAAAGTTTGTATAAAGTCAGTGATGTCAGTATATATTTAATATATATTATATACTTTTTTGTTTTTAATTTAATTTAAAATGTATGATGATGATAATAATACTTAAAAAAAAAATTTAAAAAAATAAATCTAAAATATTTATATATTTAGGTACATACATTAATTTTATTTGGTCCGCGAGTTTTTTCTAGGTCTTAAATTATTGTTATCTATTATTTGTTTATCTTGAGTATTCTTTTTCTCTGTTATTGACGCGATTTCTTCGGCTACTGTTTCTTCCAGTGTTGTTTCTTCGTTATTTTCTTTTTCTGAGTTTTTTGTATTATCTGATCTAGTTTCCGAGACTTCTCTTCTGGTATTATTTTTTTATTAACGTTGCTGCTGATTTGAGGGGGTGTATTTAACGTAAATCTAGCTGGGCTGTCTTCGAAGAATGTTTCAGACGCAACAGGAGTTTGTGGAGCACTGTTTGATCTTGGCCTATTACGTTCCGGTGATCGTATGTTTATTTCTTCTTGAGTAGTTTTTTCCATATCTTTAAGTTGTTCTATGGTATAGACTTCATTGTTGACAACAAGCTTATAGCCTTGTCTTTTGGCAAAGTGGTTTTTTGATCTCGCAAGCTTCAGGTGTTTTCTCAGAATGTCAAAACATAGATCTTGTACAATAGTTTGTTCCTTTCAGTTTATTGCAGTTTTTCAGTATAAGGTTTTTTTAAGCACCCTAATCTGTTTAGAACTTCACTTATTAAGTCTGTATTGTTAGATACTTCCAAACCAAATATCAAAATATTGTTTTTAGGGGTTGTTCCTTTCTTAATCATTTTGGGAGTTCTAATACATAAGAAGGTATGCGTCATGAAATGCAATTATATACAGATCAATTTGGCAATAACGTTAACCCTTCAATTTAAAGGGAGGAGGTCATAGTGACATTTTTTGGACATGAATGTAATGTCTCATCTTGGTAATCATGGTATTACATTGATATACCTAATTATTGTTGTTCTAACAGGTAACATGTTTGTGTGCGGAAGGAAGAAGGATGGCATTACAAAAAAAAACCATTTGACACAGATAGTCAATAATTATAATCTCTTTATTTTTATGTTTAATTTACACTCTTTTAGAAAGTTTATAAGAGCATCGTTTATATTTCAGAAGTTGGCAGGTAACATATGATTTTGTTTGTTATTTTTAGAAATCTTAAAAATACAAAAAATGTATTCGAATATCAAATAACTAATCTATAAGATTAGCAGCGAATTATGCAGATATATCCAAGTAACATTCTCATTAAAACTATACAAAAAAAAATTCGAATAAACCCAAATGATCTTCAAGACAGCTCCAAGACCACCATGAACATATAAATATAATAATATATTATAAAAGAGAAAAAAATAATAAAAAATATAAATATAAAAATAAACAGATTTTCTAAACCAAATTCATTGCATATATACAATATTTTTTTATGACCATTGCTTATTTATTGTACGAAGATTCTTTTATTCTTTTAGGCGTTTCTTGAAGTTAACCAAGTTGTATGATTTAATTTCTTTATATATAAGTTTAATGTACTCTTTACATGTAACATAGGAAAAACATCTTTTAAATAGAGCCGTGTTATGATTCGGTACCACCAAGGTGATTCTATTCCGCGTAGGAAATTCATTAATATTGGAAATCGTCTTTAATTTGTTAACTAGATAATCAGGTTTTTGTATGAGTAAAACTTGTCACGTTAAGAGTGACCTTTTTTTCTATGGAATACAAGTAAAAACTAAAAGACGAGGACATAGCTTGTCGGCATCAACTACAAAGGAATTTAATGAGAGATATCCTTCTGGTTATTATTTATTCTTGTGGTGGAGGTATGTTTACTAAAACGAAGATCAGAATCTAACAAGAGACTTAGGTTTTTTCTTCAACTAAATTCGTAAATTATGTCCCAATTCACGGAACTTAATTGAGCATTAAAAAGATTAATATCAAATCGCGAAAAGTCACGATATTGTTATATACTTAGCTTTTTTTCTAAAGTGATCGACTATGTTGCAAAGAACAGCTTGATAATGTGATAAGCCACGGCCTCTGACATCTAATACCTCAACACATATTGTTTGATGGACATCTAACACAAATATAATGTCGATGAGAGTTTTGCTGTGCTTGGTTATATAAGTTGGTTTATTAACAATAGGAATTTAAAAAATATATTTCATAAATCAAAACCTCTACTAAGGTTTATATTTAATATCCCCTGAGACAATGAAAAAAATCACAGGAGAGTAACAAGTTGGCGACGCTATCTTCCAATTCATCAAGGTAGCTAATAACAGAAGCACTAGGGGGCGATATATAACTCCGAAAATATATGTTTTTCTGCAAAATCCAAAGTTTCTCAAGGTTAGGAGTGATTCGCAAAGAAATTTAATTATATTTGATACTTGAATTAATATAGAAAGCCACACCTCCGCCTCTCCCATCCCTATCAGCTTTAACAACTTGTAAGAATGAATAAAAATATTAGTAGAATCAATTAGACAGTTTAACCAAGTCTCACTAACGCCAAATATGTCTATTATTATTTAATAAGTAGTCGGTAACTCGGTCAAATACAGAGATATTACGTTTCATATCCTTAATTTATTATGAATAAAAAAATTTACTAAAAATATAACTTGAAATATAAACTACAATATATACAAATGTGACATACAGAATAAAGTAAAATAGAGAAGATAAAATGTGTGATTAAATAAAATTGTAAATCTACTTTTGGGAAATAGTTCTGGGTCTATTACCTTGGTTTCTGGTTTGTGGTTTGTTAACATGAATTCCACTTTTGTTAATTTTAGGTGTACTGGGTAGATTTTTGACAATAGTTGCAATGTTTGGATCTTGAGAAGTACCAGAAGGGTCGTTTCTATTTTCGGGAAGTGTCGGGTCCACAGCAGTTGGAGTCGATGGAGCACTGTTCGCTAGTTTTTCTTCGTCCATTAAGTCTTCAACAGAATGAATATTTTCATTTACATATAATCGAGTATATAACTTATTTCGTTTAATATAACAGGTGTTTTGTTTATCTTCTTTTACCAAATTTAAATTTTTTCTAAGAATACTGGACTCGTATCTTTGTTTGGAGGTTTGTTCATGTGCAATGTTTATATTTTTTCCCTTAAGTTTGTTATATTTTTTTAAAATTTCAGTTTTTCACGAACAGACAAAATTTACCTACTTTCAAAGGGCTATTTGTTTCTTTTCCCAGGGCATAAATTCATTCATTTCAGATAGTTTTATATCGATATCCAACAGCGATTTAATTTGTGAGCAAATATATTATATGTTTAGGTTATCTTGATTGTTTTGAATCCCAAAAATAACAATGCTCTTTTTTTTATTTTGTTGCTTAAGATTTCAATTTCTTCCTTCAGTAACTGGTTGTATTTTTGTAATTGAATGACTTTACTTTCCACCGATTCCACCTTCAATAATAGTCTAGCCTCAAAAGCATCTATTGCATTTTTTAGTTCCTTTTTGCTATTGATAATCTCTTTTAAAACATCTTTTAACGTTGTGTTATTATCTATTTCACTCATTGTATGTAATTACTTAAATATTTAAAATTTTAACGTGTTTCGTGTGTGTTGTCAGCTTTAACAATTGTGATACTATCAGATACAGTACAACGTACGACTGATTAGTAGATATCAATGTGTTTAGGGTTAAGCTGGTTTTTAAAAAGGAAAATGCTATCATATTTCTAAAATTTGCAATTATTTCTTTAAATTTCAAAGAATTATTATTTTTATTATTATTATTATTATTATTATTATTATTATTATTATTATTATTATTATTATTATTATTATTATTATTATTATTATTATTATTATTATTATTATTATTATTATTATTATTATTATTATTATTATTATTATTATTATTATTATTATTATTATTATTATTATTATTATTATTATTATTATTATTATTATTATTATTATTATTATTATTATTATTATTATTATTATTATTATTATTATTATTATTATTATTATTATTATTATTATTATTATTATTATTATTATTATTATTATTATTATTATTATTATTATTATTATTATTATTATTATTATTATTATTATTATTATTATTATTATTATTATTATTATTATTATTATTATTATTATTATTATTATTATTATTATTATTAAAATACCAAATAATAATCATTTAAAAACATTAATATAGGACCATCTATTAAATAATTTTGACGGTTATGCCTCACCAAAAAGAAAGCCGCGCGCATCTTAGAGCGTCGAAGTATAATTAAAAAAAAAGACGCAAACCGCAGAAACTATTTCTTTAGTTTTAGTTGGGAGAGTATTGGCAACGCAAGTATGTTAGCGCCGTCGAGATGCAACAGAGCCAGCAACAACGACGACGTCGTCGTGTAAACTCAACGATATGCTTAGTATATGTAGGAGAACAGGACCCCAAGCGCCGCCCTATATGGATTGGCACGATTTTGCTGTGTGGATAAAATTACATCGCTTTTGCTTTGGTATCCGCTAAAAATACCGCAGCCCACGGTTATTTTTGTACAATTGTATACAGTTTTTCTTAAAATTAGATATATAACAATTTCCTCTATTTGTTTCTTTAAAATGATTTACTTTGTAGATCCGGTACGGAAAGTGAAGCCAGCATGTATTCTTATAATCACCCTTATTTAGAACCAAACCTGATATAACAAATTTTTTTTTTGACTAGTTGGTTGACCCAATTTTGTAGTACTTGGGTTAAAGTTCTTTCAATACAAACAAATAAAATGAACTTCGAATATATAATATTTACTAATATTAAAAATACCAGTTTCGGCAAACACAGCCATCATTAGGCAAAAAAATTAATCACTAAAGTAGATTCAATAGTTGACAAAAATTTCGATACTGGTTTATGTACTCTTTAAATAAAACAGCTCAAGAAAGATATAGGCGATTCAAATTCATTTTCCCGAGACTTTTAAGTAGGCTAATTGTTTGTTTACATTTTGTTAGTCTTGTGGTGATCTTGTGAACTTTTCTATGTTTTAATTGTTTTAGTAAGGTAGATATTAGCATTGTAACTTTAGTTTTTGTGCTTTCGTATAAACATACTTATATAAATCATGTGTCTATCTAATAAATACGAAAATAGTTACAACTCAAATGTGACCAAGGCGTGAAATAAAATGAAATCGAAATAAAACTCAATGCCAGAGTCACATACTAATACGTACGACCGTTTCCCTTTAGAATTTGGAAAACAACTACTTTAAGAACAAAGGAAAAAGAGCAAACCTCAAAAGTTCGTGACACAGAAACGTAGAGTGACTGTTTTCTTCCTGAAAACAACTACTCCTTTAGATAATACCGCAAAATGCATTGTATTATAATCGAAAGGAAAATAGCAGAGAGAAAATAATTTTCAACGCTCTAACTTTATCTCTATTGTCACTCGCCTACATCTGCACTTAGGAAGCAAAATCAAAGCTTGTTGTGGTTCAAAGAACTTGGTCGAATAATAACCACACTGACAATAATTATCAAATGAAATAAATTCCAATTCTCAAATGTGACCAATTTAACAATAAAATCAAAGGGAAAAAATTTAAAGTGCGTATCACAGAAACGTCTAGCAACTGTTTTCCTCTTGAAAACAACTACTCCTTTGACTAATACTGTAACAGGTATTGAATGTATCCAAAGAAAAACAGCAAAAATAGAAAATTATTTTCAGCGCTAAGATAGATAGCTGAATAAGAGAGTTTCTAATAGCGTCTGAGCATCCCTCGGATTCAAATTTATAAATCTGATTCCAGTATTGTTAAGCCCTTTGATTACTTATAGTGTTGAGTGATTAAATGCTTTCACGAAATCAATAAATATACAGTCACCTAGGCTTTCAGAAATGTTTTGTGTCACGTACGCCATAGCTTCGTTTGTTGATTTTTGTTCTTTAAACCCCAGTGGCAAGTTACTTAAAAATTATTTTTTTCAACAAAAATACTAATTCTAGTTTTAAATGTTTTTTCAAATATTTTTGCCACGTTTAGACTTATAGTTCTATAATTTTCAACTTTGATTTTATGCCCTTTTTTAAATATAGATTTAAAACCACCTTCTTTAAACTGTGTCGGACAAATACCCTGCTCAAACATTGAATTTATTAAATAGGTAAGAATAGATGTTAACTGATTTATTAATTCTTTAAGTCTGGGGTTTCCAAACTTTTACGAGTTTAAGTAGAAGTAAAAATATATAACTAGCGTATTTTCATTATATAACACACACAGTTAAGAACACAAACGGTTATAGTAAGTAACACATACAATAGTTTCTTACCGGTGAGATATGGAGTTCGCCAAGGTACTATTCTAGGCCCACTCATTTTTAATTTATATGTAAACAATGAGATTTGGAGCTTTACAGACGACACAGCTGTTTTCTATTATATGAGCATTATATGAAGATCTGACCGAAAGTGACTTTTCTAAAATCCAAAATGGACATAACTCAAAATGACTAACTGTTAATGTAAAAAAAACGTTTTACCTACTTACTAATCTTTTGTAGTAAAGCATACGCGTTTTTCTTTAATAATTTAAATTTTAACAAGTTTATTTCCAAAAATATAAATACAAAATACCTATATAATTATTTTACAATTTAGTGGAAAAAAACAAGAAAGGAAACATTTTTGTGTTGCATAACTGTTATTATTTCAATAATATAAGTAACTTGGCTAGCTTAGGAAAATATTGTCTGCTGCTAGCTGTCATTACTATTACCTATTTTGTTTTAAGAGCAAAAGAAATGTATAAATACTGACAATGGTGGTAGTAGTATAATGTAATAAATATTTTTATAAAGTATTATAAATCAAGAAAAAATCAAATCAAAAACAAAAAATATATAGGTATCAAATTTTAAAAATAAATTTAACTCAATAAAATTCCTTGTCATTTTAAAATTTAGTTGCAAACCCAGATAAAAATAACGAATGTTTTTTGTTGCTTTTTTGTTTTGTTTTCTGTTTCTTGTATTTTAATTTATTTTTTATTATAAATTATTATAATTTATATAAGTCAAGAAAAAATACACAAAAGAATACAAAGGTACTTTATAAAATTTTGTAAATAAATTTAATAAAATTATTTGTGATTTTTAAAAATTAGCTGCAGAACCTAAGAATATTATTTTTTTTTTATTTTTGTTGCTTTTTAATTTTTGTATTTATTTGTCTTTTTTCATATTTTTGTTTTTTTTAATATTTAAATATTTATTTAAAGTAGTTACAATATATCGAGGGCGTAAATAATTAACCATGCAGTGAGCAGTTTTTCTTTAAATTAATTTAACCTCTAATAACTGTCAATTTAGAATTAACCAGATAACAATCATAGAATATATTTAGGAATCTTTAAATATTTTAAATCAATGCTTAATATTAATCAACTTAAAACTCTTTACTCTGCTGGTGGATGGCCTTTCAGTATGAAAACACGCTTTAAAAACTTCTATGCATACACATACACTATAAATCATCAGACAACTGATATTCGGTAAAGATTTCACATACCCAACAATCCTGCTATATGCCGAATCTAAAATTCTAGATCTATTATCATTTTAACAAAAAAATGTAGTTAAATCCACATAATATCAGTTGAACAACGAAACTACTTATATATGGAACCAAAAATTTAAAATTTATTACCATCTAATTTAAAATCAATTGATTACTTAAACAGTTCAAAAAACCCTTGACTTTTTACGTTCAAAAACACCGTGATTTAATCCATCATGTAATCAAGATCCTGTAATTAAGCAGACATCTATTTTCGGTCTAGTTTTCCACTGCATCAGAAACTATAAAAACATTTTGTTTATTTATTTTTAATTAATTCTTAAATTTTTCTCTTAGTGATGCCCAGTTATTGTGTATTATTTTTACTTCCGTCGATAAGAGGGAAGTATTGTAATCGTGAAAAAGTCACCTTCCGAGACTATTTCAGATTTTCACGTTTCAGGGTCCCTAGATTACGAAAGACATGTTTCCCCATTACGTCGGTCTGTCTGGCGCGATAGCTCAAAAACGGCTTAATAGAAAAACTTCAAATTTTGTATGCAGATAAGGTTCCTTTCTGGCTCAAAAGTAGTTATACTTCCGATCTGTTATGTACTACAGGGTGAGCACTTTTTACAAATTTTTAAAAGTCCGCAGATTTCGACTAAAATTGATATCTGAGAATTTTAGAAGTCAAAGATAACAAATCCTAAATAAGTTTTTAAAAATTCAAAATGGCGTCTACAGGAATCATATTTAATCAAAATTGGTCCCCCTTGAATGAAAATAATAAAAAGCGTCCTTTTGGTTGTTGCAGTTGAACCATTTTAAAAGCAGCCAATTATTATTGTTCAATAACGGTGAACGTAAAGAAGAATACCGAGCGGACGCGAAGTGAGGTTTCAGGTGGAATCAAGAAGAATATCAATTGAGAGAGAAACGTGAAAAAGGTTTTTTGGTTTAGTGGTTTTAATTTTAAATTATT